TAATAGTAAAATCATTTTTGTTGAAATGACCCGATGTACATACCAAGTGTTCGTTGGTGTGGTAAGTAATCTCAGAAAAAAAAAGTATGGTCAAACAATGACGGATCATTATTTGATGCAATTTCATGCTTCATGTAGTTTTATTGTAGATCGATGTCCTCGGATCGTGTAATTCCGACATACCCGCCGTGTTATCTGATATCTGGTAGCAGCGATGTGTTTCGTCAAACATGATAAATGGGTTAAAATAATTCATATTTACATTCTTAACGGTCAATCTATAGAAGGAATTCGTGCAGGAGCATGCTGCTTTGAGAAAGGAATGTAGAACATCGAGAGTGAGGGGAAGGGACACGTAGGAATAAGTCAAATTAAGAAAGAGAACGAGAGCGGTACGGGCTCAGGGTCGGACAGGCATGTTAAATGTAAGAACTAGTAATGCAGTGTATATAAGGAAAAGAATTGTAGTGTGTATCCTATCAATGTGTTATTTATCATGATATGTATACAAAACAAATACCATTTAGGGGTATTTGAAGTTGGTTTGATTATAACTCGCTCTTACAAATATTGATGTGGTTGATTGCCAATTATCAAGTATTAACTAGGAATATGCTGTACTGTACGCTACAGCGTAGCACCATTACAGGATGATCGTCAGTTATTGCTATACAAGAGGTAATCGTTACCAGATGACTGGGATTTTATCCAGATGCTGACAAAGACGTTGCATGTTACTTTTTATAAATTATTCTCTGTTAATATTTTATTTGAGGACGTCGCTTTCTACATTCAATTGGTTATCGTTTTTGGTTATTTGTTGCCTATATTCCAAAAATCTTGTTAGAGGATATGCTATTAGTCATCCATGTCTAACTGCAGGCAAAATACAAGATAATTCCACCATACTATGTTAGTTTTGACTGTTACTAATTGGTTAGAGCGATTGCATGGTGATTGGAGGACCGGGGATCGGTTCTTGGTCTGGCCACGTTGCGTTTTTTCTTTTCGGAATTCATTTGTTGATGCAGAAGATACTGCTTACGATGGGAAACGGGGGCATCTCACCTGAATAATTAAGAACTCTGTCGTAGAGAGTCTATATTTCATGACCCTGCAAAGAGCGTATAGAGAATGCCTCGTTGCGAAAGGTTTACCCAGGATGCGTGTTAGAGTCAGTTGGCGAACGGTAAAAAAACCAAGGAAACAACATTTTGAAAATCGAAAGTCGACTATAAAGAGAGCAGTGAAGGATTTGAATTTCAAAACCAGCAGCATAAAAAACCACTTACGCTAGAGTCCCCTACTGCGATCACTTATTGGGTAATAGTATATCAGTTTCTTTGTCGTTTTTCCATCTCTAAAGCTTCAAAGTAATCCATCGATATCAATACTTTGGCCTTCTTTCAATTTCACCGAGCGCAATATACATAATTTAAACGTTTAACCTGAATCATACTGTATTTGTTCTCCTTTTGGTAACGATCGTGGTCGATTGAGTTTTAATTTCTTTCCGTTGGCATTTAAAATAAGTATCAATGCCAGCTAGGAACGAAAAATTCTATCAAGTGCACTGTTGCTTCATGCTGAATTTGTAAGTTTCCATTTGGCATTGCGTCTGAGTCTTTTATAAAGTCAATAGTATCACGAGGAACATGATATACTTGTAGACCCCTTCGAAAATGTGTTAAGTGCTAGGAATAGGAAAGGTTACAATTTATGCAACAACTATTTAGAAAGATAAAATGAAAAATTCTTTACGGAATTTTTGTGAATATTTATTTTGCTTTTATCTTGTTGTTCGTTGCACTCTCAGTCTCGATTAGAAGTCTGCTGACCTTATAGGCAAAGAATGTTGTTCTCAAGCCCTTTCAACAATTACTACAAGTAATGAGAACGGTTCGATTTTCCTATATTTTATTATTTAGTTTACGCTTTATACAACATTCAATATTAGAATATATCAGTGAGTTTGAAAAGGAATTTACGACAACAGAATAAAACAAGTCTATTTTGAGAACAAGACGGTGACATATTTCCACCATGTGTTTATCCCGCCCTAATCCGATGCCGGGGACTTGGCTGGGACGCTATTGATTATCACTGTGTTACATTATAGTTAGATACGGGAAAGAGACTTACGTAATTGGCACGACTAATAGAAACAGTGTTTGTCCTTCGAATACATACACATTACAATTATCGTGGATAACGGTTAGCGTCATAGCATCCCATTGACATATTGTAGTGTTTCATGGTCAATTATACAGGAGGATTTAAAAGGTAGTTACTTCACTAGTCGTGTCTTGTATTTCACCGCACACACTGTTTGTCTACTGCATAACCAGACAACTTGTTCTGCAAGGAAAATTCGAACAGCTGTCTATTTTGAGTTTTTCAAATCCACTCATTTCCAAAACGTTTCACAGAGAATTTTGCAACAATCGAGATTACACCTATATACCCTGTGTCAACGGAGTAATTAAGTTTGAGGAATGGCTACGGGGGACGCAGGCTTATTTTCGAATGATGGCACCACGACATTTGTGTATGACTCCCAGCACTAATGAGAGGGACACAGCGCCCTAGGGGCCCGTGAATGTCTACTGTTTCTAGGCTACGGAGAACAATTCTCGGGGAACAACTTTGAAATAATCAATAGCAAACCCTACATGTATATGACAACACCTTGGTACGGTTGTAGGACGATTATAGTTCGTACAGGTTGTCGACGAAAAAAGAGGAGAGTGAGTGTATATATTATATTTAACAGTTTTGCTTAGAAAATAAAGATCTTACTGTCATACAAACCAAAATTTGCTTCAGAGGAGCATTTCGAGGTTTGATACTGATTGAAGTGGAAAAGAACAATTTATTTCGTGTTTTTTTGTTATTGATTGATTTTACTATAATTTAATTCCACCCCCCCCCCCCAAACAATTAANATAAAAAGATATGTCATTGCGATGATATAGTTTTGTTAAAGATTTTTCTAAACATTATCAGTTTACTGATGGTTACATACGGTGTCTCATTTCTATTTTTTTGTATTCTTGTGAAACTTATTATATAAATAGGAAACATGACATTTGTCAATCCTTCAATTTTACTTTTAACAATGTATTTTTTTTCTTTTTTTCATTATTTTTTCTTTTGTACATGGAAAGAAATGCTTTTTGAATTCGTGTCGATCGTTATATTAGACGTATTGTCTTTGTTAATTTTGACATGAACCATAACAGACACTTGATTTAATAATTTGTCCTTGAACATGTATTTTTACTGTGTTTCGTGTTTTCTTCTCGGTTTTTTTTTACGCTGTGGTTTGTTTATGCTGCTGTGTCGTTGGTCTACTCCTGTTGACGCTTTGATGTTTTGTTTCTGATTGTTGCCGCTTTGATGCTTTGTGTCTGATTGTTGACCCTTTGATGTTTTGTTTTTGATTGTTGACGCTTTGATGTTTTGTTTCTGATTGTTGACGCTCTGGTGCTTTGTGTCTGATTGTTGCCGCTTTGATGCTTTGTGTCTGATTGTTGACGCTTTGATGTTTTGTTTTTGATTGTTGACGCTTTGATGTTTTGTTTCTGATTGTTGACGCTCTGGTGCTTTGCTTCTGATTGTTGCCGCTTTGATGCTTTGTGTCTGATTGTTGACGCTTTGATGCTTTGTGTCTGATTGTTGACGCTTTGATGCTTTATGTCTGATTGTTGACACTTTGGTATGTTTTGGTCACAAGTGTGTTTACGCTACATTATATTTTATGTGGTGAAACTACAACTTGTATTTTGTCCTGGGCTATTAATAATCTTTTAGTTCAATACGTTTTCATCTTTTAAATGTCAGGTATAATTATTAAAACAAAAAGGATATATTTCCCATGTAAAACAATTTTCTTTTATACGTTGAAGTCTAAATTATCGAACACCAACATCGACAATTTCTTCGGATTGGTCACATAAACACCAATTAAAAGAAACTAAACATAAAGGGAAAAGGCATGGATTGATTCGTTTCTTCACCCTTAAGTTCGGAGAGGTTTGTTTCTAACATGTAATATACAATTTGAAAATTAAAAGAAAAATGTCTACGTCAGCAACGATACTTATCGGATTCTGAAAAATGTTACGTAAGCCGTGTGTACTTACCAACGACGCCATAACTATTATATAATTTAATATCTGACGCAATCTAGCAACTAAAGTGGACCCCTGTGAGAACATCAGACGCGTGTGTGAGTATGTATTAAAGGTGACGGGTGTCGAAAACTCTCTTTATAGATGAAGCGCGTATAAACTTATTGTACTCTACTGTGCGAGATATGTCGGTTCTAAATAGTTACATATTAAAAAAAAAAAAAAAAAAAAAAAAAAAAAAAAAAAAATCAATGTATGATATAAAAAGAGCACTAACGAAATGTTTATATAACTGGATGGCTCATATGAAAGGTGCATAATATTACATAAGTTGATAATTGATAACTTTGATGTTATTCGGTATAACATAATTATAATTCAACTAAATTTATCCGAAATAACGCCAACAATATACATGAATTTAGGCTGTAAAATCCCCTTAACTCTCAAATAACGCTTACCATCGTCAGAACCAGATGTAAGTAATTTCTTACATACCGAAAACTAAAGCTGAACAATTTCAATTGCATCTGAAATTAACTGTTTATTTGATTAGTTTTACTGTAAGAGAAATTGGTTGGTATTGCTACTAGTATCAACTTTTGAAATTGCCTGGGGGTGTTGAAAAAAAAAGATGTTTTAGTATAAAGATCAGAGTGTCCCCATCTTATGTGCTTTCATTGATGTCTCAAATTTAGTAGCGTTTTGATGTTTAACATTTGCGTCGAGTTAAATTAATTTTATTTACTATCATCTTTTTGTTATAAGTTTAGTTTAGCTAATTAGTAAGTTGTCTTCATGAGTATTTTTGTTCTAAATGTTAAACACTAAATCAACATGAAATGCAACATGTCCTTTTTTTTCTACCTTCGCTGATGGCTGCGAGCTCCCGCGGTGTGCCACATTCTCTATGCGTCTGTTCGGTGATATCTGTTAAGTAGAACGCTTGTGTTGTTTGTACAGATCTAATTGTGCAAAAGCGACACGTATTTACCCGATTAGGCCTGACCTCTCCCATATCCAGTTGATTAGCCAACATGGACGCTGTGGTATTAGGGACAGACATCCGGGTTGTTTCGTCGTGTTCTTGGTGCTTGCCGACGCCAATACTGCCATTACTGGTCGCCATGTTGTAAATGTACGCAGACAAAGTCAATTTCCCCCTATTGTAATGTAAATATTTTCATGTTTTCAATGAGTCTGCCTACAGGCTTGTTCTGTTTAATGAGGGAGAAAACCGCAAAACATGTAAATCTGGGTTAGACAATGTTAACGATATACTCAAACACAGACAAATACAACGTAAATGTAACAACCATTTTGTTCATTTGCTTGCCCAGGTTGGTTTATTGGATTTAGTTTTTTCGAAACATTAAAGTTATTATTGCATGTTTATTTAATAAGAAATTAATATAGGAACTAATATCTCTTCACAAAAACATCCGGGTGGTATTTAACAGACACTCGGTACCGGTTCTAGAAAATGTGACTGTTGATTTGAAACGTTCTCATCTCTATGACAATAGCTTTGATATATCTGATAAAAGAAACCCGTGTCTTGCGGAGCATTTATGAAAAATTGAAAAAGATAAAATAAAGAAAACAGGTATTATAATAGTGGACTAAGATATTGTTTTTGTTTGTAAAAATGTTTATGCAACATGGCTGACATTGGTGTTATCCATGTCTGCCATATTATTCGTAAATTTAATAAAAATGACATTTACTGGACATATTTTATTCTTTGTTATTCTTGATGTAGATTTTTGCAAAAAAACTAGCTTCAGTCGTGATAGGATGATCGTGATGGAGCTTTATAGCATAAAAAAACGTTTGCATACTGAAGCCTCTTTCGACAGAAAATCCCACATACAATGTACGTTGTTTTATTGTTCATCGCAACGCACTGACACTTACATGTATAACAAACTCCAATATGACATACAAATACCTCCAAGCCATACAGATCTGTTCATATAGTTTTTCAAAATTGATTTTGATCAATGTAAAGGGACAAGTTGCCGTGCGATTGACGATGGACATGTATTGAAACAGAAACCAAAATGATTTTTGATTGATATACCTATCCTAACACAGCAAACATTCACCATTCGACTTAAACGAAATATATTTTCCCTAATTACAATGAAAGTGGGTGGATTTCTGCTGTACCATCCCTTAAGTGTCGCACAAGCGGTAACTGAATCAACAGGCTATTGGCTGTGTTTGTATTATAACAACTCACAATCAACAGGCTATTGGCTGTGTTTGTATTATAACGACTCACAATCAACAGGCTCTTGGCTGTGTTTGTATTATAACGACTCACAATCAACAGGCTATTGGCTGTGTTTGTATTATAACGACTCACAATCAACATCCGTATACGTAGAATCACTGCAGAGGAACACGTCATAGTTGGGTGTGTCTTATACAATACCTTGTTTGCGTGAAAGATGGAGTTTTCCAAGACGTTCTTAATTGTATCTCAGAAAAAATGGGAAACGAGCTCGAGACGGGACTACATTATCTAATATGATAAAAATTCTACCCTGGACAGGAGTTTCAATGATTTGTCCGGTTTAGAATTCCCTTGTTCCGCTCACTGATGAGTCACGATGCATGTTTTCTGTCACAATACAAACAGATGAATGAAATACTTTTTTTTCAACCAGATGACGTCGTTGTCTAGCTTAGCACTTCGTGTGCAAAAAAACTTTTCTTTTACCGAATCATTTCGCTCAAGCGAGCGGAAATAGACGACTTTACAATAATAATCCAGACCAGCCATCCCCTGAGATTTGTTGTCTGTGGTATGAAACGTTATACTGGAAACTGGTTCGAGTGTCACATGTTACGTTTATGTGATCATAGTGTACAGCACAAGTTGTTTAAAATATACATACATTGTAGATACGTTGCAATTACGTCTGAAATCACAGTGAACAATATTTGTAAGGACACAATTTGGGGAGGGAATCCTAGATTTGCGGAATATTATCAATTTTCATGATCATAATAAATGCAACATTCCAAACAAACAAAAACATCACGTACAGCAATTCGTCCTAAACTGTAGTGTTCATGATGTTTCCTTTCCATTAAATGCCTAAGCTTCCCTTTACTAAGATGCTGCCCAGATTCCCGTTGACAACATGTGCACTTATCATTGTGACCGGTCTCTACAGAACAGACTATTACGCGTGCGCGTGAACTTTTTCAACCAACCATTGCGTGATCTGTATCTGTACAAAACAGACTTAATTCATGCGTGCGTTTGTGTATTGATTTGAACCAATCGCTGTTAGAGCCCTACAGACTATTACGCGAGCGTGTGTAATTATTTCTACCCATCGTTGTGACATGTCGACTCAGATCAGACTTACGTATGCACGTGCGTTTGTATACCTATTTCCATATACAATGTATATCTACAATGTACTCTCAGAAATGTAAATACAGGCCAATGCGTGAAGTCGTTACCTGTCCGTATCTAGGCTTTGTTATGATGGAGGAGATGTAATGGACGTGTAAATACTACGACGGCCATACGTCAGCCGGGCGTTATAATTGTATTAGCGTCTTCAAACGTTTTACACTCGCTCCCAGGGGGCGACACCGGTCGTCGTATTCGTAGGCAGACTTTTGTTTAATTGCCGTCGACTGATCGACCATGTTCCGACAGTCGTGAGCCGGAGAGGCGGCCGCTATGGCAGAGATACTTTACAACGTAATGACATCGTAAAGTCATGTTTTAAAACTTGTGATTTACTTGATTTGTTTTTTAGATAATTGATCTTAAACTATAAAATTGGTGATTACAGCGACACCTTGTTCGACATAAGTTAACACATGTTGCAACTTATTCCTGTTCTTGTGTTTACGAAATCTATTTTACTTGCGGCCCATTCAGCAGCTTATCAATTGTCTATGACGATTGAATATCTGTCGAGTAATTTCTTTGTGCACAGCCAGCGGTTTAATATTATTATTTTACATTGATACGGTAAACAATTGTATACCCATAATCATCTCAATCAGAAAGGAGCAACCCACATATAATCCTGTTGTCTTAACCGTGGATTATAAGCAATTGTTGTTCATACTTATTCCATAAATACTTCTAGATATTACTGGAAGCGAGATATTTCGTCTGACAAATGTATAAGCCCCACCATATAGTATATTTACCAGCGATGACTCAAATACAGAGTTAAACACCACCACATAGTTATTTAGTAAGTACCCAGTGTAATATCACCAATTGTGACGTCATATGTAACAATTTGATGACGTCACACATCGACAGTTAAGATAAAATGGATGTTTAATTACTGATGACATGTTCTTTCTAAATACCCACAAAATGTCTTAACTGCATGACTTAGTTGAACATTTGATACATACAATATCAAAAGTGGTCGAATTACACATGAATGAGGGTCGATGTTCTAAAACGGGAAAATGGTTCTAGCAAAAACTTCCATCCCGCCATCCTGATTGTGAGCTACATGTAAATTTGTTTGTGATTGTTGGCGGCGAAGCATAGACATGGTGAGAAATCCTTCCTCTTTATCCTTTCGCCTAGTTATCTCGTCTTATCACAACAATGGTTCTGAAACCGACAAGCTTTTTCATCAGATTTGGCCACTACTCAATTCCGATCAAATTAAAGTAAACTATCGGAAGTACATTTTATCGACTATCATCATGCTATCATTTCCCCGTCACTTCTCCAAAAAAAAGCAAACACAAATACACAATCGATTTCGAGATAGAAAACTATCAACTAAAGCACGATTTTCATGTCAGTAAATTACATTCATGACGGTGCTAACACACATACTAGTGGCCATGTCACGAATTTTGTCATTTTGTAATCATACGTTACTGACTGGTCGGTCACTCCGTCCACGCGAATGTTCGTATCAAAAGTCTTTTTCGTAATGATAGATTGGCTGGATTGGACACTATATTTAATTTGATCATATTTGCGTTAATATGTTTACAACATTTTTATATATAAATGACCGAATTCTCCAGGGGTTTCACACCATATAGAAAAGCCATTATTTTCACAATCCAATACACTTATTTGTCCGGACTATCTGTAAATTTATTTTCCATTAATGATTATCAGTGGACAACTATTCGATTAGTGAAACTGGCACCTGTGCCGATGATGAATGAAATCAGTTACCGTATAAAAATAAACGTACACTATAATTTTCGTGATTTATCGACCTGTAATTCGATACTCCTGATCAGCAGCCTCCGGTACAGTGTCAGTTTGACTAGAACATTAAAGGGTATTTAGCCAAGCCCCTGTATCTACACGTGTCGACATCCCATAACAATCATAGTAATGGCTTAGAGGGTATTCTCTTGTAATGGCTTAGAGGGTATTCTCTTGCTATGCCCAGAACACATTTTTATTATCACGATTCATCTTTTATGTTTGAATGGACCAGTGAATAACACAATCAAAATATATTTGACTATTGTCATTGATTAAATAAAGGGATGTATTTTTATTCCTTTATCCACTTGTATCCCACTATCACTACCGAAAAATGTAAACGCGCATTGGAAACACGTTTATATCATTTCTGAAGAAAGAAAAAAAAAAAATGCCGGATGTATATGTTTTTTTTATTAGCAATGAAATAATCAAAATATAATCAACACCTGTTTACCGAGTGTGAAGATACAAAAGGGAAAGCCAGTGATTTGAACCTGTTATGTTATATGGTGGTCAGGTGGTGCAGCGGATAGCGCATTTGCCTTTCACCAATAGGGCCGGTGTTCGATTCTCCGATCAGACGTGAAAAGGTATGAGATCACCTACCTGACCTCGTGGGGCTTTTCCGGGTACTCCGGTTTCCTCCGACAAGAAGACCCCTTCGCACTAACATCAGGGCATACAAGAGTGATAAATATTAGTTGAAATAACTTTTTTCATAATTGTGGTAAAATAAATACAGTTTATATTATATACCTGTTATGCTTTCGCTGTAAGCGATCGAGCTACCTGGTCAGCGGAAGTGACCTAGCTCAAATGTCCTACTGTTTCATGTGTAGGATACTGTATGGTAAAAAACTACAGCGCAGTGGAACAGGAATCCTTGA